ATGAATTTTAGTGATATTGGTTTTACTATTACATATTAAGAGGGATTTTTGGTTATGGTAATGTTACAATTTAAATTTGCCTTTGGTGTTACTGTTCCTTTCACTTATTCCCTTGCTTCCAGATGACATATTTGTGTGCTTTATGTACGTTTTATACAACTTTCACAGTTGAGTTAACTCTTAAAAACATGTATGTGTATTAAATTTATATCAAAACCTTAACGTGAACGGATAACGAGAACTTAATTAATTTAATTAATTTTTTAGCTTAATTTATTTTACATTTTTAATTTTTAATAAAATGTGATCAATTCAAAACAATAAATATTTGAAGAGGCTGACGTGTGATGTCAATGGGGGTGGGAGGGGGGCTAGCATATTGTGTCAATGTGTAACGTGGGGGGGGGGGGAGGTGGTAAATTGTATCGATGTATTATTGGCAGTTTTTACTTAAAGCTCGAAGACCTGGAGGCTTACACTCTCTCAAATAAAGACCAGTGTCATAACACGAATCACCAGCCAATAAATAAGGATATCAAAACCCGTAAATGGATTGGACATACCCTCTGAAGAGAAGAATATAATATCGCGTTGAAAGCTATGAAGACCGGCCTATGAAGAAAAACGTTATGAGGATGTCTAACTGGGTTCGGGAGGGGGACGGCGTGTTTATATTGGGGCGTCATCCTAATTAGCTTGGGAGGCACGTTTCTCTTTACACATTAAAAAACATTATGTCATTAATGGGCGCCCCTAAAACTGTAAGTTATGCTACATAAATATATAGTTATAACAAATCTCACATAAAAAAACACAATTTTAAGGAAACAGGTTTTATTATATTCACAAATCACAACAAAATCTCGAATAATAAAATGCACTAATAGTTTAAAAATAAATTTAGTTTGGTGTTTAATTTCTAAAGCTATATGCTGGTTTACAAAAACAAACAATCCTCTTAGGAAATAGCGGTCCATTGGACAGAATGTGTCTCGACCTGGGCACACAAAGGGAAGGTGTATTCAGTACTTTGCCTTAACTTTCCTAGCCTCCACATCCTCTTTCATCACACCTTCCCCGTCACCAATCCCATGCCACCATGACTCCCATACCATATAGCACCCTTAAACGCATCTCCTTCGCCCCCATGACCCCGCCCCTTTACACCCACTACCCGCGTGGCGTCACATGTTGTTGTTTTTTTCAATTAAAAAAAAATGTAAGTACTTATAAATCAACCCTTTTCTGATTATTAAAAAAACAATGCCTTGCCTAGAATTAATCCTCCCCCTCCCCTATTACTCTTCCTCAAGATCAACTTTGTTACGTTATTTTGTTTTTACTTGTACTTATGTGCTGCTGGATTATGTACCCCTTATTTACATAAATTTTGTACTATGCTATATGGTCTAATGAAACAGTCTTTAGTTTACTTATTTAATACAATAACACAGCAACCACAGTGAAAAGAACTCAGCGTGACAAGCAGACCGTTGACAAACGATTACCCTCGTCTACAGTCATCTGTCACTCAATAGTAACTAATTCTACAATAAAAAATATTCCAAACGCAAAATACGCCTCAGTTTTTTAATGGGTTTCGTCAATTACAATAACCCTTCTTTTGTTAATTATTCCTGTATTTAAATTAACCACAATACAAATATTGTTTTCGTTTCAATTACCTCGGTTTATTTATGTAACTTCTGTGTAATTACTTTACAAAAGTGTACATATTGTAAACAAATATTTCAAGAGCTCATTAACTCTGATATAGGTACAAGTGTAAACCTTTTTTTTTCCTGTTTAATGTTTGTAAATTAACAAAATGGTGTTGATGTTTGTAATTGAAAGTACCAGAATTTAACGGAAAAAAGAGATGAAGAATTCTCAAAACAAGATTATATCAGGCCCGAACTGATAAGAGCATATATGTATTTGCCAATATATATATATATATATATATATATATATATATATATATATATATATATATATAGGTGGGGGCTTAAAACATTTTTCGCTTCCGGGGGGGGGGGGGTGTCTGTTTACATGCTGCCAAAAAAGGAATGCAGTCAGGGTCATCAGAACCTCATCTAGGAGAAATACTACAAATCTATCAATGCTCTTTGTAGACACTTTCAGTGTGAACTCGTCCGTAACACCCTGGTAGGAACACCTGGATACCGTGTAACCAAGTCAAGGAATGATGCACAGTGTTGTGCTAGATTACCAAGATCACGGGGAAGAGAGGCAAAACAACGACGAGCTGGGTTTTTTTCTTGAAGCGAAGCGGGATGTGAAAGTTTCTGCAGATGTTATTTTAGATTTAAATATGTAGCTGCATCAATGCATGTCCCCTTGTCGAAGCCTAGTAAAACATGCTGCTGGGTACGCTAATTAGTCGCTATTCTTCGTAAAGAATCTCTACTGAGTATGCGTCGAAATAGTTCATATGACCAAACTGCCAATGCGCGTTTTACTAAACACATATACTTTATAATATACGAGCCGACCCGCTGCGTATCATACGCCGCTATTTAGTTGTTTTTTTTTTTCTACTTTTCAGTAATTTATAATTTGTGAATTCAACAGTACCAATGCTGCCACTGAAAAAACACTAAACCGCCCTCCCCCCCCCCCCCCCCCCACGTGAAAACAGCCTCCTCTTAGTTACCTCCTCTAAGTTTAAAATCGTTTCAAACTAAATTATCTGCCCCTAATAGCCGTCACCAAACCCGTCTCTATGATTGTAAAATGTAAACAGCGTGACCACAGCTCACCAGAAAATGTGGGGTGGGGTGGGGGTGGTAGTGATAGTGATAGAAAGAAAGAGAGGGGACTGCAAGGAGGCGCTTGCAGCTTGTTTTCTAACGGCTCCCAGAAGAGAATTATATATATATAGATAAAGAATTCAATGACCTACTTAATGTATACATTAATTATAAGCATAACCGTAATCCAACAATGAAAATACAATTGATTTTAGAAATGAACACTCAGTAGTAGGCTAATTACAATCTAAAACAAATTTTTTTTCAAAACGTCTGTTATCGGAGAATAGTATACACCATCATCCTTAAATTACATAGAATTTTTTTTTATCCAAATTCAAACCAGGAAGAGTTCTCTCGCTTTTTTTAAATAGGGGAGACTACTACTATAAAAATAATATAACACTAAAAGTTCCCGTTCTTAACGTGATTTAATTCTCAGAATTTTCTTAGATGTGTACATTATCTCAAAGTTCTGCTGATCTGAATTTTACATCTTGTTTTTTAAGAGACTTGGCACATTGAGGATTAGCAATTGGCGTCTTGATGTCCTCCATTTTGTATTCCCCTTTTAAAGTAAAAAAAAAAAGTTTCCCTTTCAAACCTGACGGTCTATGCGGCAAGTGAAGTAGAGTTCACTTGTTTCTGTGAATTCGGCATATGAAAAGAAATTGTGGTCAGCACTATGCCCAGTCGCCTTTACTTTCCCTAACGTGACTTTGGTACCCATCAGAGTTGGGTGGACTCAAGGACGGACTACTGACTTGAACCCGGATTCGAACTCGAGACTTACGGGTTAGCAGTCGAGCTCTCTACCGCTAGACCACTCCGTCCGTACTGGCGAAATATGCTTCCTGACGCCCACATCTTCTCCAGTCAATTGTACCCCACTGTTCACCATATAACAACAGCATCCACCCCTACATTGTCTGTAGAATGTACTTATTTTACGTTCACGGATTTTGTTCTTTGATAACTGTCTCACATCGTCATCATAGAGTGTATATCACGCCCATTAAATTACCCTCTCATACCTGACGATCTATGGGGCAGGTGTAGTTGAGTTCCTGTTTTATAAGCAGGGTTTGTGTGGTCAGCACTCAGCACACCCGACTATATTTTCCCTTTATTCCTTTAAGTTAGTAACGTACCCTTCTTGTAATCACAGACGTCACAAAGACTTGAGCAGGAGCATAACTATACTGCTATCGAATTATAATAGGGAACTCTCAAAATATATTTAATCAGCATGTTTTAACAGAGAGAGGCGTAGCGACCCTCCCGGCGCCCGGGGACAAACTTTCAATTAGGCGCCCCCCCCCCCCCGGGAACAAACCTTCAATTTTCAATTTGCACCCCCCCCCTCAAACTTTCCATTTGCACCCCCCCCCCCCGCCCCATATATTGTTTTTTATATTTATAATGCAAAACTGCACCTAAAATGATATTTTAATTTGTTTTTCCAACCCATTTTGGCGCCCCCTATGGTCGGCGCCCGGGGACATATGTACCCCCCTGTACCCCCTGCCTTCGCTACGCTTCTGTGTTTTAAACAAGTGAGTGCATCTGTTGTCTGTTTTTAAATTGGAGTGTTAATGCCTGGAATTGAACGGCTTTGTTGTGCTAACGACGCGTTACGAGAAATAGCGGATAATCGGAAGTATAGCAAAACTTTAACATCAATAATTTTTTAAATGAGATTTACAGCTACACGGCTGGTTTTTAAAAATTATTATTTTATTTTATTTAACTAGAACTAGGAAAGAAGCAATTTAGTTGTGTGCATATCTTTTAAAATAAAATAACTACTTCTTCTTCGTTCTTAGTTATTAGTGTTGAAGGGGATCGAGATTTATCTGCCAGTGGGTTTGAACTCGAGACTTTGTTCGAATTTATCAACCATGAGCTTTTTGCCGACTCGACCACGCCTTCAACACAATTAAGCGTTACGTGTCAACTGGTTATGCGCCATTGAGGCCATTGACTCCGATTTCAGCCTGCTTTTCTTTTTGCTTCCATAGGCTTTGTCCAACCAAGAACAAACTACAAGGCAGCAGTTGTTTAATTTTGGAGTTTAAAATAACTTGATTTAACATATACACATAATTGTTGTGTGTCGGTAAACTTGATTTATCCCCAGTTCAAGGCGACCTCCACTCTCAATCAAACTATGAAATTTAAGGGAGACGCCTCTGAGAACAATCTTGGGGAAAATGGGGTAAGCTCTAGCAATTAAAGTTGACCAATCACAAGCGTACAACTCACCGTAAAGAGCAAGTAAAGAGGTGGCTCACATAATCACAGTTTACGTGGCACAAAGTACTGGTAAGTCGTATTATCAATTTAGCGCTGGTTTGTATAATGTTTTAGTGAGGGAAAATTTATTATCGTGGAAAGGAAACTCGTTGATAGTGTATGTTTTTTTTTCGTGTTTACCTGCCCGTGTAAGACTTACAAGTTTTGATATATGCATTGTCACCTACACACTCTAGTTCTCATGTCAGACAAGTTTTGATATATATATGGTCACCTACACACTCTAGTTCTCATGTCATACAAGTTTTGATATATATATGGTCACCTACACACTCTAGTTCTCATGTCAGACAAGTTTTGATATATCCGTTATCACCTACACACTCTAGTTCTCATGTCAGACAAGTTTTGATATATATATGGTCACCTACACACTCTAGTTATCGTGTCAGACAAGTTTTGATATATCCGTTGTCACCTACACACTCTAGTTCTCATGTCAGACAAGTTTTGATATATCCGTTGTCACCTACACACTCTAGTTCTCATGTAAGACAAGTTTTGATATATTCGTTGACACCTACACGCTCTAGTTCTCATGTCAGACAAGTTTTGATATATCCGTTATCACCTACATACTCTAGTTCTCATGTCAGACAAGTTTTGATATATTCGTTGACACCTACACGCTCTAGTTCTCATGTCAGACAAGTTTTGATATATCCGTTATCACCTACATACTCTAGTTCTCATGTCAGACAAGTTTTGATATATCCGTTGTCACCTACACACTCTAGTTCTCATGTCAGACAAGTTTTGATATATCCGTCGTCACCTACACACTCTAGTTCTCATGTAGGACAAGTTTTGATATATCCGTCGTCACCTACACACTCTAGTTCTCATGTAGGACAAGTTTTGATATATCCGTCGTCACCTACACACTCTAGTTCTCATGTAGGACAAGTTTTGATATATATATGGTCACCTACACACTCTAGTTATCGTGTCAGACAAGTTTTGATATATCCGTTGTCACCTACACACTCTAGTTCTCATGTAAGACAAGTTTTGATATATTCGTTGACACCTACACGCTCTAGTTCTCATGTCAGACAAGTTTTGATATATCCGTTATCACCTACATACTCTAGTTCTCATGTCAGACAAGTTTTGATATATTCGTTGACACCTACACGCTCTAGTTCTCATGTCAGACAAGTTTTGATATATCCGTTATCACCTACATACTCTAGTTCTCATGTCAGACAAGTTTTGATATATCCGTTGTCACCTACACACTCTAGTTCTCATGTCAGACAAGTTTTGATATATCCGTCGTCACCTACACACTCTAGTTCTCATGTAGGACAAGTTTTGATATATCCGTCGTCACCTACACACTCTAGTTCTCATGTAGGACAAGTTTTGATATATATATGGTCACCTACACACTCTAGTTCTCATGTCAGACAAGTTTTGATATATCCGTCGTCACCTACACACTCTAGTTCTCATGTCAGACAAGTTTTGATATATTCATTGTCACCTACACACTCTAGTTCTCATGTAGGACAAGTTTTGATATATCCGTTGTCACCTACACACTCTAGTTCTCATGTCAGACAAGTTTTGATATATCCGTTGTCACCTACACACTCTAGTTCTCATGTCAGACAAGTTTTGATATATCCGTTGTCACCTACACACTCTAGTTCTCATGTCAGACAAGTTTTGATATATCCGTTGTAACCTACACACTCTAGTTCTCATGTCAGACAAGTTTTGATATATGGTCACCTACACACTCTAATTCTCATGTCAGACAAGTTTTGATATATCCGTTGTCACCTACACACTCTAGTTCTCATGTCAGACAAGTTTTGATATATCCGTTGTCACCTACACACTCTAGTTCTCATGTCAGGTCTCTAAAGTGAAGCAAGTGTAGCAGATACTATCTCTATCTGCCAGCATCGGATTCCTATTTAGCTTTGTATGATAATTAAGATTTCAAAGAGTGTTGAATATAATGAGCTAAACATTTATGTTTATGTTCCATACCAGTAGCGTAGAGAGGGGGGGGGGCAAATTCGTCCCCGGGCGCCGACCTTAGGGGGCGCCAAAATGGGTTGGAAAAAATAAATTGAAAGGTTGAGGGCGGTGCAAATCGAAAGTTTGAGGGGGGGGAGGGGGTGCAAATCGAACGTTTGAGGGGGGGGGGGGGGTGCAAATCGGAAATCTTGAGGGGGGTGGGGTGGAAATCGAAAGTTTGAGGGGGGGTGCAAATCGAAAGTTTGAGGGGCGGGGGGTGGAACTCGAAATCTTGAGAGGGCGGGTGCATATCGAAAGTTTGAGGGGGGGGGCTTGAGGGGGGGGGTGCAAATCGAAAAGTTTGTCCCCAGGCGCTGGGAAGGGTCGCTACGCCTCTGTTTCTTACACATATCATAGATTTTATACATCATTGTTCAACAGCTATTTCAGATTTAAGTAGAACAACTTACTATAAAAATGAACCGTCTGCAAGACTGGATGCTTTATTCAGCGATTTTATTTCTACATTTTCAGCTATTACATGCAAGTAAGAACCAACATACAATATAAACCCATAAGCATAGCAATATGTATAAATGAAAAATTGTTCTTATTTTCGTGCCAACAATTACCAATTAACAATGTATTAAGAGTTCAATTTGACATATCTGCCTTGTAACTAACATAACTGAGTTTCTTTTTATAAGTTATCATCTCTTTGATATAGATCGTTAATACCTTAGAAAGTCTTAATACAAAATATAGTAAAATTACATATAAAAATAAAAATAGAAATTAAAAAAAAACATTAAAAAATCGTCGTAAGTTTTTAGTATGTGGTTTTACAGTTTGATATTTACAAGACGTTAGGAGCAACCTACTTTTAATGAAATTTAAAAGGTTGGCACATATTGTTATTTCCACGTCAAAGGCAGACATAAGTTTAAACGAAGTCCTACCAACAGGCGAAAAACTATTTAACTGCATAGTTTTACACGCGATTCATTATCAGAGACGTTTCTGTCTATACTACGAATATGTTACCCGTGTGTCTACTTTGGCGTTAAAGTAACAATATGTAAAAAATTAACTTTAATAGTTGTTAGTTTGTACTACATAACTACTACTGTTTTGCAGGCACTGTTATTATTAACAAATATGTAAAGCGACACTGTCTTTTTTCTTACATTTAATAGTATACTACGTGCTGTTTGACTATTATCAGTTATATCAAAATATTTTTTTTTCGGCGGTTGTTTTTTAATCTTAGTTTTGATAAAGTTTTCTAAATATTTCACTTAATTAGATAGTTCCGTCATCGATTACAATCAAAATAAAAACAGTAATGTCACCTACTTTTTCAAATAGCAGTATTTCTATAACTTGATGTAATAATTAAAACTTCCCTACTAAATTGTGTTGGTGTAGTTTTTATGAACCTCAAATTCCACGCTAAACAATGTGCAATTTAACATATACATGACTATTTTCGAATTGGTGAATAGTCATATTTAGCGTTTGCAAAATTTATTTAGACATTTGAATTATAAATTCGACACTAATTTTTTTTTTCTAAAAATTGAAGTTAGCTGCCCTGTTGGCTGGCACTATTTTGATGGGAGTTGTTTCTTTGTTGAATTTAATGATAAAACGTGTTTAAAAGCGCAGCAAGACTGTAGTAAGCACGGTGCACACTTAGCCAAACTTAACTCACAAAAAAGGATTGACTACTTTAAAGCAAAGGTAAAACTAATTCTAAATCTACCAATTGATTTTATTTTTAAAAAAAAACAACTTTTCTATAGATGTTAGATGCATTTTTTTCTATCATATAAAGTAAAACAAATATGCAACATACAAAAAAGAGACATTTTTTTTTTTACAGAACGTTCGATACATCTGGATTGGACTGCACAAACACGTTTCGACCAACACCTGGAGGTAACGTTTTAAATCGTGCTTCATATCAGTGGCGTAGCGAGGTCGGGTGTCACCCGGTGCGGTCCGCACCCCCCGCACCCCGCCCCCCTTGCTACGCCTCTGCTTCATATTACACATTATTAACAACAGACAAAAAAGTTTGATATTGAATAATCAATACTCTGCTAAGCTGAAAGTCTTGATTTCGGATCTCGTTCTCTATACCTGAAATGTATTTTTAATTCTTTTAAGTTGTATTAATTGATTCAGATGGCACAATGAGAACACAGCCGCCACTTTCACAAGATGGGATGTAGCTGACGAACAGCCTGACAATCGCGAGGACGTCTGTATAAATGCTCGTTATTTAGGTTGCTATATTATGTTTTGCTATCTATAAACTTTGTTTCCGTTATAATTAACACAACGGTTTCGATAACAATTGTAACGTAATGCATAACAATTTTTGTTTTATAGTCATGTAGATAAATTGGTAAAAAAATATTTTTACCACTTTACAATACAAAAAATTTTTAAAAAAAATTAATACATTACTTGTTCACAATTATTATTTATTAAATAAACCATAATGGAAGTATGTTTATATTGTTCTTTGCAGATAAATGGCATGACCAGAACGGCGAACACAAATCCAATTCCGTTTGCGAGAAACCAGTTTGCAAATGTAGAAGAAAATAATGCGCCCTAGACCCATGTCTGTGCTATGCTATTTGCGCTCTAGCCAAAAAATAGCATAAAAAAACAGCTAGTTCGTCGAAACTATCCACAGTTTTAACATTTCATTATGCTAATTATTTTAAATTTTAAGCAATATTTTACACCTAAAATCTTGAAATAAATCGTTTATGTATCGATACTATATTCGATAAAGAGCTTATTTCAATATTTCAGTGGTGTTGAACTTTAAGGATACTTTGGCAAGAAAATTTTTTTATTTTTTTTTTCTCAGGTGCTCTTAATATTTCAAATAAAATAAAAGAGATGCATTTTAAAATCCACACAAATCGCTTTGAATATATTTGTTAAATTAGCTTTAGATGTGAGTAATTAGAAATTAGATCCGTGTTAACTGCATTTAGTAAGTTAAATTTATTAGTTATTAAACGCTGAATTATAGTGTATCATAATATATTACAATTACATGTGCTTCTTAAACTAAAAGTATATAAAAAAAAAATGTTAACATTGAACCCCCTCAATGTGCATCCCCCTCAAGCTTTTAATTTATTTTTCCAACCCATTTTGGCGCCTCCTATGGTCGGCGCCCGGAGACATATGTCCCCCCCCCTCGCTACGCCTCTGATCTAATACTTTGGTGAATTTCAGGAAACACCCGACTCATTAGGCTTACGATAGGATTTTATCAGTGGGGACGATATAACTATTAAGAATGTTTCAGTGAATGTGAATATAAAACTTGTAGTATTTAGTATCTCTAAGAAGGAAAAAAAACCACTTATTTAGGGTCTTTATTGTCTGTACACAGCCGTTATCATTATAGTTTACTGATGGCTTCTCATACTTGGTAATTTGAGGCTCTATAGCTGGGGACAGCAAGTCTTCTAGGAGAGACAACTCCAAAATCAAACTGCTGCCTTTTGGTTGTTCTTGGACGGAGAAAGGATTTGGAAGCTAAATCTATAAAGTAAAGCAGGCTGAAATCGGATTTAGCAGCACAAATGGCTTATAACAAGTTGAAACGTAATACTTAGTTGCGTTGGGGGAAATCCCATCTAATACTAAAATTAAGAAAGAAGACGTCTCAAGAAGATAAGAAAGCGAGAACATGTCTTTCCTCTTTATTTTTATTTTGCAGTATCAAACACTAGCAATGGGCCAAACTTTGGACATACTTTTGTCTGTGTCGTTTCATCATAGATAATGGTGTGCCGCTAACGGTACAAGATTAGCAAGGAAAGGCAGTAATCAACACTAAGTCTCAATATCCAGAAATTTACAATTTTTCATTCATTTTCTCTAACGTTTGTATGAATGGAATTGCCATTAGCTGCTGAGATGCAAAACAAATTGTCCTTCATAGTTTTCAAAACGTATTCTATTATATTAATTAATGTAAAAGGAATCTAGATTGCAATCCTTGGGATAGATTTGTCTTAATGAGGATCCCTCACTTAATGATTAAAATCCCGAATGAATGAGAAAATAAATAAATACCGTTATTCGATCAAATGTATATTAAATTAATACAAGCCTTTTTCTTTTTTTTTATCAAGAGCTATTTTTAGACAATTTCTCAAACTTGTAACTGAATATCCACTAAGAAAACATAACTAGATTGATATATTCTTGTGATAGAAATGTTAAGCACATTTTGAGTAGTGCTTCTGTCGTTGATTGTTAAAATGATTCGATCACGCCCAAAATAGTATTGATGTTTTCTAAGTAACAACACATCACTATATCACATTTTTTATTTTAATGTCATGTGAAGATTTTGCACGTTATTCATTTTCATGTTCTTTTTCAAAAGTCTTATGATATAGATGGTGCAGTTTGTTAGTAATGATGGCAATTTTAATAACTCTATACAGAGTGAACGTCTTGTGTGTTGACATAGAAATATGTTTTACCTTGTTGATCAATGAGGGTTAACATGTAAGGTGATGTAAAAAGTTATTTTAATAGTGATATAGACCTCTTCTATACATATTGTAAGAATACTTTCTTTCTATTACCCGCCCCAAACGCTTCCCAAGCAACGTGAATTTAGGCTAATGCATTTAATTACAGCTTCACTAATAGAAATTATTGATTAAGTGTCAGTCTCGATTAAGGCTAGGAGCTACAGGGAAAACACTTTTTTGTTATTAGCCAAGCAAATTCACTGAAACTTCACCCATATAATGTATGCTCAATGGGATTTTTAAAAATGGTGTCCAAAAAGAAAAATATTTTTGGTTGCCATGGTTACGTCCGCCATATTGGATTTTTGTTTATCATTTTCAAAATGCTAAGGCTCAGCAACCACTAGAGGTAAACACACAGAAATGCAAGCATTTTGTAGAGTGATGTTAGCCTGAAACTTTCTATAAAGTACTTTTTAAGAAAAGGGTTTAAAAAAATTATTTTTAATTTTTAAATCCTAGACTGTTAAAAAAAAGCTGAAATTTGCTCAAATTCAACATATTTCAGTCCATAAAATCTAAAGTAAGAAAAATCTTTTAAAAATGCTTTATAGAAGTTGTTTATATATGTTAGAAGAATAATCAGGCTAAGTTTCATTACAATACATGCAGAACTAACAGAGGATTAGGGATTTGAAGAGTGAATTTTAACATTTTGAGAAAAACGCAAAAACTAAAGAAAAATGAAAAATTTCATTCATAACCTAACAAATACTAACAAAATTTGGTTTTAATTTATGCAGGTTTATTTAACATATAAACATGCAATGAAGTATTAAACTTGCAAGTACATTTTAAATAATAAAGTAAAAAAATTGTCGTACAAAGATAACGCGTCAAATACGTAAAGGTAAAAAACATTTTTATTTTCTTAAAATAAACTGTTTCAAAAAATGGGCTGAACCACACCTAGCAGTTCTATTTTGTTAAGCATATTCACATTTCATTTTGGCAACTGCTACTTTTTACTGCCATCTAGCATTTTCTTTTTCCAGATTAGTCATCCGGCAAAATGTTTCAATGGGTTTTTTTTTAAATCCTTGCTACCACTATAACTATAATAATTGATTTATTCATATCTTCAGCTCTTTTTATCTCTTCCTGTTAATACTTGTGCACTGACCAAAATAAATGCTCTTTTTCTAAGTTATTTTTACGTGTGGGTTACCAACATAGCCTGCTTAAATAATGCATCTTTCTATATACAAGTTGACTCACACTACTCTGTTGTGTCATCTGGTCCATGAGTTTATGTAAGGAGTTAGTGTCTCACCAGGTTAATGTAGGGGGTTCGTATCTTAACAAGTTTATGTAAGGGGTTCGTGTTTCACCAAGTGTATGTAACGGGTTCGTGTCTCACCAAGTGTATGTAAGGGATTCGTATCTTAACATGTTTATGCAAGGGGTTCGTGTCTCACCATGTTTATGTAAGGGGTTCGTGTCTCACCGAGTTTATGTAAGGGGGTTAGTGTCTCGCCAAGTTTATGTAAGGGGTTAGTGTCTCACCAGTTTAATGTAGGGGGTTCGTATCTTAACAAGTTTATGTAAGGGGTTCGTGTTTCATCAGGTTTATGTAAGGGGTTAATGTCTCACCAAGTTTATGTAACGGGTTCGTGTCTCACCAAGTGTATGTAAGGGATTCGTATCTTAACAAGTTTATGTAAGGGGTTCATGTCTCACTAAGTTTATGTAAGGAGTTAGTGTCTCACCGAGTTTATGTAAGGGGATTCGTATCTTACCAAGTTAATGTAAGAGGTTAATGTCTCACCAAGTTTAATTAAAGGGTTCATGTCTCGCTAAGTTTATGTAAGGGGTTCGTGTCTCACCAAGTTTATGTAAGGGGTTAGTGTCTCACCAAGTTTATGTAAGGGGTTCGTGTCTCACCGAGTTTATGTAAGGGGGTTCGTGTCTCACCAAGTTTATGTAATAGGTTAGTGTCTCACCAAGTTTATTTAAGGGGGTTCGTGTCTCACCAAGTTTATGTAAGGGGTTAGTGTCTCACCAAGTTTATGTAAGGGGTTCGTGTCTCACCAAGTTAATGTAAGGGGTTAGTGTCTCACCAAGTTTATGTAAGGGGTTCGTGTCTCACCACGTTTATGTAAGGGGTTAGTGTCTCACAAAGTTTATGTAATGGGTTCGTGTCTCACCAAGTTTATGTAAGGGGGTTCGTGTCTCACCAATTTTATGTAAGGGGTTAGTGTCTCAACGAGTTTATGTAAGGGGTTAGTGTCTCACCAAGTTTATGTAAGGGGTTAGTGTCTCACCAGGTTAATGTAGGGGGTTCGTATCTTAACAAGTTTATGTAAGGGGTTCGTGTTTCATCAGGTTTATGTAGGGGGTTAATGTCTCACCAAGTTTATGTAACGGGTTCGTGTCTCACCAAGTGTATGTAAGGGATTCGTATCTTAACAGGTTTATGTAAGGGGTTCATGTCTCACTAAGTTTATGTAAGGGGTTCGTTTCTCACCGAATTTATGTAAGGGGATTCGTATCTTACCAAGTTAATGTAAAGGGTTAGTGTCTCATCAAGTTTATGTAAGAGGTTAATGTCTCACCAAGTTTAATTAAAGGGTTCATGTCTCGCTAAGTTTATGTAAGGGGTTCGTGTCTCACCAAGTTTATGTAAGGGGTTCGTGTCTCACCGAGTTTATGAAAGGGGGTTCGTGTCTCACCAAGTGTATGTAAGGGGTTAGTGTCTCACCAAGTTTATGTAAGGGGGTTCGTGTCTCAACAAGTTTATGTAAGGGGTTAGTGTCTCACCAAGTTTATGTAAGGGGTTCGTGTCTCACCAAGTTAATTTAAGGGATAGTGTCTCACCAAGTTTATGTAAGGGGTTAGTGTCTCACCGAGTTTATGTAAGGGGTTAGTGTCTCACCAAGTTTATGTAAGGGGTTAGTGTCTCGCCAGGTTTATGTAAGGGGTTAGTGTCTTACCAAGTTTATGTAAGGGGTTCGTGTCTCACCAAGTTTATGTAGGGGTTCGTGTCTTACCAAGTTTATGTAAGGGGTTCGTGTCTCACCAAGTTTATGTAGGGGTTCGTGTCTTACCAAGTTTATGTATGGGGTTCGTGTCTCTCCTTTGTTTATGTAAGGGGTTAGTGTCTCACCAGGTTTATGTAAGGGGTTAGTGTCTCACCGAGTTTATGTAAAGGGGTTAGTGTCTCGCCAAGTTTATGTAAGCGGTTTGTGCCTTACCAAGTTTATGTAAGGGGTTCGTGTCTCATCAGGTTTATTTAGGGGTTTCGTGTCTCACCAAGTTTATGTAAGGGGTTCGTATCTCATCAGGTTTATGTAGGGGGTTCGTGTCTCACCAGGTTTATGTAAGGGGTTCGTGTCTTACC